AATATGAATGGATATATATAATATAAATATAAATAAATATAATATTAAAATAAATATAAATATAAATAGTATAATATAAATATATATATATATATATTTATATTATACTTATAATAATTGTAATAAGTTAACACTAATGTAACAATATTTACAGTTTACCATTCGACTTGATTAGTTTCCTCACAAATGCACAAAGTTCGCAGTCTACTGATAAACGACACAACGCTTTCACCAATGACATGACTTCAATGCAGAGAAATTAGGCGTACGATAATGATGCAAATACGTTGTGCGAGAAGTTGATCCGAACGAACGACGGTCCTTTTTGGCAAAAATATGACTGAGAACGATTAGGATCATTAACCGCTTACCGGTTATCTTTTAAACAAATAACAGACTTCTAGTAATAAACTATCGAGCATAGATGTTATTCTATCCACGAAAATTCCAATGAAACTCTAATCACTTGTTATCAATGTTTAAACATTGAAGTAAATTTAGGCGCACAGTGAGCACCGATTTTCTTCCCCTTCGTAGAGATTGTTGCAGTCGAGAAATTTCTAATCGCAGTAACTGCGATTAGGAAATTGTGTGTCAAGGGATTAGCAATCATAGTTATCAATGTTGTACATTTCTCAAGATGCTCCTAGACGCGTTGCTTTCTCCGTAGACCTTAACGAAACACGAACAAATTTAATTACTCGGAAATTAATCACCGGAAACCGGTCAAACGACAATACTTATATTTCCGGTCCGGATTGAAACACAGAAACGTGCAATTGCACGTTAATCGTCGGCGAACATTCGAATGTTACATTTGAAACGTAAAAGCTCAGGAGCGGAACAAAGATGGTACCCCGATCGAACGAATTAATTAATCTTCGAACGAAATTATCCGTCGAAAAATCGACTCACCTTCGATGTATTAAGGTGTAGAACTAAGGTGAAAGCCAGGAATGCCCAGCTGTACCCGAACGAGTAGTACCGCATGATCGGTGTGATGCCGATGTCGAAGCGAACACCGCTTTAAATTCAGTGCCGTACAACGTAGGGGCCCCTCGCGCGGCTTCTCTCCCCTCCACTTCGCGTTTCCCTCTCCAACGAGCAACGCGGCTGCGCCATAGATTATCGATCGCCGTGCGAAGCTGTGGAGGGGGTTCCCTGAAAATATAGCGAGCCGCGCGCGAGTTGCGGGACGGGACGCAGCCGGTGATACAGACGCAACGGCGGAGGGGAGGGGAGAGGGCGGGGAATAGTAAAAGAAGAGTATGTATTTGAATACATGTTTGCACGAAGAATGTATCTACCGTGTTGTTACTCTTCCCGGCTCCGTCGCGTCTTCCTGTTTTTTATTGTAGCAATTACCGGATAACAATTTTTTCATCGATAGCGGCAGTTGAATCACCGGATCGTCCACGCGGATCGCTCGATAACTGGTGAAAAATCTGTAACGATGAAGCTTTTTGCACGTGTCCATTCGTTTTCTATCAGTCTGCATTAACCGTTTGGCTGCTGACGGATTTTTTTATGATAAGAAGAGAGACATAAGAAGAGCGCGATAGCGCTCGTCAGCGGTTCGAATTTATAAACAATAATGGTGAAGTCAATCTTCGAGGAATCGAAGACTATGCGGTGTAAAATTGAATTACGACGAACGCTGTTGAATTGTCACGCGTCCTAAGCTTCCATCGAGAGTTCTTCTGCACGTTTTTTCGAAGATACCTATATTTACCTTTCCGATTCTTCCTAATCTCCCCTATCTTGTGTACAAAAGGCCCCTTCGCGGTCAGCCAACGTTTTCAACTAGATATTGGGTCCATTTTCGGTACCCGATCTTGACAGTACAAAAAGGCCACGATTTCGGCATAAAAATCTAAAAAGAAAAGTATCGATCGTTCGATTTTACTCTCTCTTCACAGTTGTTTAAACAATTAGCGAAGAAGTAACTTTTATTTATTTTAAAATAAAACAAGTAACTTTTGTCTGAAGATCTTTCTTTCATCGCGTACAGTTCGCGAATTATAGAAATAATAAATGAAAAATAGGAGCTGCGTGCTCAGAACCCCCTCTCGAGTCAATTTTTGTAAACTGGTCAGTCTGGTCCAAAGCAATAACATCCTTGGCCGCGGCCAATGCTCTTCAGCGTTGAAATTAACATGGTTTGACTGTGCCTTTAAGTCGGATACTTGTTTTCGGATGCGTACGCGATGTCGTTGATTCGAAGCAGAATTATTATTATTATTATTATTAATAATTATTATCCATTATTATTATTATTATTAATTATTATTCATTATTATTATTATTATTATTAATGAGAAGGCGAGAAGAATATGTGATCGAGAGGCAAACGCAATTAACGAATTTCTGTAGCCGCAATGTGAACGTGCGACTGTTGCAATATCGCCGTCGCGTCGCGGCGGTTTTAAGCAACCTAACGATATAAGCGAAGAATGAGAAAGGTTTCTACGCGACTTTCTCGCTGGGAGAGAGAGAATGTGTCCTCACGAGAGCACAGAAACGCTATAACCACTGTAATAGTGTATAAATCACTCCTGCATCGAGACTTTACGTATGATAAATATACTACTACAATGTGGCAATCGGAGGGCCGAAAGAATATCATGAGATTACAAGAATGTTCAGAAATTCTTCTGCTTTGATAACGTGCAGAAATGTTTATTCATTGCTACGAATACAGAGAAAATAGAATATTTTTTACTATTACAGAAAATTTAAATTTTTAATTATATTATATTATTATAATTAAATTATATTATATTATATTTTCACCACCGACGGTTCAAAAAGTTTACGGCACGTCGAAATATGTATTTACTTTTGCTAAAGTGCCGCGATTACATAACATAACTGCGCATCGCACTTGTGCCGTTACTCCTGTTATCACGGTTAATTAATTTCTTTCTTTAAATCAGTGATCCGCGGGCACCGAAACAGTATCACCACATAACGGCAATGCTCGAACTAAATCAGGCGTCGCGTCGTGTCCTGCCAGAAGAATATGGTAATGAAAAATTGGATGAAATATATTTATAGAAAACAGTTTAAGTGTTAACGATGTATTTTGAGAGTACGAAAATGTTTGGGAGAATTTTCTGCATCTACACCATGCCACGGAAACCTATCTATTGTTGCAAATATTGAGAAATTTGAATATTCGTTATATTCACAATTGATTCTTGCCGTAAGGCGTAAGGAGTACATGTATGCGTGGGGAAAATAACACGAATTTAGGGACTAGATAAATATTTCGAGAGTATAGAAATATTCGGAAGAAATATTTCCTGCATCTATATCACGCAGGAAAAGCTTTTTTTTTTATTCCATATACACGGGACAGATGATTCTTGCCACTATTCCCATAAGATGCAATGTAAAATCCGGTACGAATCATCTGCTTCTTAAAATCTCAAAATAGCGCCACTACACGCAGTGGCAAAACGCTCAAACTGCTCGCTAAATGATAATGTTAAGGGTTCGCGATTCTGACACAGATGGCGCCACCATGATATTCCCATAAAAGTTTGAGAACAGCGCCATAGGATAGTGATTAGAAACTATTAGCTCAAGCTAATAAAATTGTCAGAACATCAAGCTGGTTTTAAAAGAAACAAATCTGTGGAAAAGCTCGTTTCTGCTTTAAGAAATCTATTCTATATACAGTTTTTTGCTATAAGAATTCACCTAACAATATCTCCGTAACAGTGCTTCCAACAGACTACAAAGAAAATTCAACTTGAAACAGTAAGGCTCATTCTAGATTTCAGAAAAACCACGTCCAATAATGTTACATTGGCCGAAGCTAAATTACCTCCAACGGCCTTGCAGACAAATCTTATCTCACCAGAATTGCAGCAGATCCAAGTCACTTTCTCAACCCAATTTTAGATAAGCTATTTAAAGATATATCTTATATATATATATAACTCCACATTTATTAGCTGGTTTGGAATTTCTGAAACAATTATGGTAGCAAGGAAATGTGTCTGGTCACTGAGACAGCAGATTATTAATAACAATGGAATGACTCTAGACATATCTATTATCCACCTGAAAATATTGTGGACACAACCATAAGAGAAAAACTAAAGCAAGTAGAGGACATCAATAAGGAATGTTTCATTGGAAATTAAAAGAAATTCAGAGAATTTATCCATCCATACTGATGACTCCAAAACACTTAATGATCTAGTTTATATGGAACGTTATGATTCGTGCTTATTTTCCAATAAACAATAGCGCCATGGAACGTAGCGGTAGAACACTGAAACTGACAGACAAATTACCAACAGCCGATTTCAGAGACTCTTTAGCCGTTCAATTTCCCTGATAAAAGATTCAAATGTAGATTTTAGTTTGAGTAGATTTTATTTATATTATTATACTACTTATAACATAAAATAATAATAATAATATAACATAATTTAACTTCTCGATCAATAAATATTATATTTGAGGTCTTAAAACAGCATCTAGTACGTAAACACCTACAGTAATATTTATTTACAATGTCCAACAGTGTGTAATAACTAATTATTACACTTACATACCAATGCCCTGGTGAAAGTTCAATTGCTTCTTGCTTGTCTGCAATTCCTGCATCAGCTTCATGGCTCGATCTTTAAAAGCGGCTGATATCTCTTCGTTCTTCTCCACGCCGTCGCCATTTTTGTGCATTAAGGACAAGTTCGCACAAGCATAGGGATTTCCAAAGTCACAACACTTCGTACCATATCTATAGGATTTCGTAAAATCTTTCTCAACATATCCTGTAATGCCCGATATATAAATGCCCATCAAATGGAAGCAAGCCTTCTCCTCATTATTTTCACACGCTCTGTGAAGCATTTTAATTCCATCTGCGATTTGCTTGGATCTGTCTTCCTCAAAGTCTTCTGTCGTTACTGCGATAGCACCTGCGTGAAAACAACCCTTCGCATCATTGAGTTCGCAACCTTTCTTCATGTATTTGTACGCGTTCATAGAATTTTGTTCGCATCCTCTACCTGTGGACAAACGAAAAATGATTTTCATAGCACAGTGGTATTTTGAATTTCAGGAATCATTCGACGCAAACGCTACTGTGTAACGCTGCAATGGATCATTCTAATCATACTTACCGACCATGCTGAAATCACCATACTTCGTACAACTTCTACCATAATTCATTGTATCGCAGGTCATCTTGTATATTTTGGCAGCCTCTTCGTTATTCAATTTGATACTCTCCTCGTAATCGCCCAACAGATGACAAACTATGAGAAATACACAAAACTTGAATCAAGAGGTTAGGATCGTTGGTTAGAGTGTGCTTACCGTCAGGCTTCTTCTCGCTGTAACAACCAAATTTGTATTCAATGTACAGGTTTTTCAAATACTCCTTTACCTCCTCGGGATCTTTTAAGTTATACGGAAGGGCCATGACAAGTGGATTTAATTAATATAATAACAAATATCCGACAAGGTTACTCCACAAGCAGAAGCACCACGGCACCCCCAGGTCGATCAGACAGTATCAACAAGCAACAATAAAAATGGAGTCTCTTTCTTGTGTTGCGATATTTCATGACCGACTTGCAGCGCCAGAACGAAGATCCCGGTACAATGTTTAACTAATTCAAGTTTCTAGCGCCCGTCCAATTTATAAAATAAATATTATTTTATTTTATATTATATATATATATATTATATATAAATATAATTATATATATATATATATATTATATTTATTTTATATTATAAATAAATAATAAATATAAAATATTTATATTGTATTACGTAAACAATCGCTAGGATGAAATTAATCGATAATCTAATAATTTAATAATTTATCGAGCGATCAAATTAATTGCAAGCTTTATCGCGGTTGAAGTTAGGTACATATCGGGTTCAAGCCATTGAATACGAAGCTACAAGAAAGAATATTGGAGTGTAGGGTTTGGCAAATGCGTTTTGATCGGCGATGTATAAAATTCAATAGCGCTGACAACGAGCACATGCTTCCGATGAAAGGCGACCAATCGCACATCGGGCGATCGTGCGCGGGCGCAATCAGATTTTTCGAATAGGCGCGAGAGCCGACGAAGGTGTCGGTAATTCATAACATTGAAACTTGTGTGTCAGTTCGGGTGTGCTCGTCACTCGGTGCGCTACGAGTTTTCAATTATTTCATCGAGACACATGAAAACGTACACCCCCGCGGTCATAGAGCAACTCTTATGTCGAGAAAGAAACTACGTGCTTCGTTGAAGTAAGTAGTTGAAATAAGAGATCACGCGTTTCAATTCGTTCAGTTAGTCACTTTGTGTTTCTCCATTCGCCGAGTGATATTTGTGCACGTTATTATTATTTATAATTACACGTAAGAATCTTCTCACACCGATGGACTAGCAAAAAGAGTTCGTTAACGACCACGCTCGATTACTTTTTGAGATGGTCAAAACGAACAACCATAAACAGCGATCAAATGGATATTGTGCGAGGCAAAACTTTATAAATCTTTGTTCACTTATTTCGAGCAATAACAGTTCACTTAAGCGAAGAAAGAAATTCTCATTAATTTATTATGGAAATTAGATGTACTTTGAAGCGTCACCGTGACGGATAGGTTAGAAAATAGATAATGAAAATTTGATGGCGCGAATTGCCGAGCGAGTTTCATTCAAAATATACATAGGACATGCGTCTATGGGAAAAGACTTTTATTTTTCTAGAAAGTAAAAAAAAAATCAGTGGGAAACAAGAATGATTGTGCAGTGCTAAGAAAGAGCACTTGTGAAACTATTTTCGCAAGATTCGTATAAAATTTTTAGTATGCACGATTCGTGTTGTTGCTACAGACTATAGACGTAGCTATAGCAGACGCTAATACACGTACCTTTTATTGGGTCAACCTTCAGAGCTTAGTCGGTTAGGGGGTCGCCTTCTTATCTACCCTCCGTGATCAGAATTCGTCTATATGTCAAGCGGAATCATGTTGTACGGCTTAATGAACGTAACACGCGTACAACTTATACCGACGAACTTCATTCTTGGCATACTATTGCTCGCTTGTATGCTAATTGATAATTTCGTAACAGCGGTGTAATCTGCCATGAGTTCATTACGCACCGATGTGGACATGATTAATATTTTACCATTAACACTCTACACTTGACCTACACTTACACAAATTGAACTTCCCTCTGAACATATCTGAACGTTTCGAGAAATTGTGAAATATCGGTGGTAAAATTAAGTGCTTACAAGGACGAAGCAATAACATTATTAAACGTACAAAATTACGTTTTTGCAACGAAGTGTTATATTTATGAAAATTGAGCTTACCTTTCGTATAATTTTATTGTAATCTCTATTTGTGTATATTTATTTATACTATTTTTATATATTTATTTATGCTATTTTTTTATACTATTGTCATGCATACCTGTGTTATCATGATTTGTGTACACCTCGGTTATAAAATTCTTTTCTTTTTGTACTTGTATTTGAAAATTGATGTATCAATAGTTTCAAGGATATAAATATAGTTAGCCTTGCAACTTGTCCATTATTCAGAATGCATATACAGTGTTTACTTATTTAAGTACTCTACATTGTACTATTCACGGATGCGTATTTAATTTATTATTATGCTTTCAATTTATATGGCACTATATGTTATTCTATGAAATTGTGGACTAAAATGGTATTTCAAGAAAAAACATAATAATAGAATGAAGACAGTTGACATCGCAGATGGCAACCTGAATTATTTGTTCCTAACACGGCTATACCGTGCAACGTCAAATCAAAATAAAATAACACATTGTTACGAACAAATTGTAAATTAAAATATTAATTGTTGGAGATCATTGCTAGGGCATGTACACTTTTCGAAATTCTCAATCAAATATTTAGGAACTATTTTCGAAATAACACTTCTAAATGGCAATGATAACTGTTTAACAAAATATACTTTATTCGAGAAAAATTTACGATATTCAAGCTATATATATATTTAGCATAATTTTCTAAAAAAAAGATGTATGACGATAAACCTGGAATCATTTTAAAGATTAAAGCTTCCCCTATACAGTAACCCCCCAAAACTTGACATACGCTTTGTTTCGATAGTCTTATTGAGCTTTAAACGAACGTTATGTCGCTATCTTTGTACGATCGAACCTGTTCTTCATCTTCCTTCCATAAAACAACTAAAAAAGATCGTACATAAAGTTTCAAAGCGCCGTTGTAAAGAGGAAGCTTCAATCTTCGTATCCACGCTAGATTCAGTGATGAAAAAGATTTTCCAACGTTTTCAGAGACGTTTCAATTTGAAGCATTACGAAAACGGTAATCTTTAGTTTTTCCAATCGCTGTGTCGCATAAAAAATACCTTAGAAAAAGATAGTTATGGTTTTCGAAAGTAGAGGCTTCATGCTTGAAAATAAGATCAGGTTCATTGTTCTACGATTCTTTTTTGCGAAATTACAATAGTTTAAATATCATGTATTGTCAAGAAATTGGGAATTTAGTTTACGAAAACATTTTCACGTGTTATCAAAAATCCTGCCGAATTTAGAGAATGTCAAATACGATTCGCGGCAGACACGTGTTCCATCGTGATCGTAGACGCCACAATTCGGGGTGATTCAACGCGTAACCGGGTTCAAGGGCAACCCATACATTCGGCCGCCACACGAACGGAATACTTAACAGACGAAAGAAAAAAAAACGAAGGTGCTCTTGAAAAGTGTTGTGCTCAATGGCCTCCTCACAGACAAGGCCGTCGAAAATCGAGCAAAGTGGCCGCCGGAAATAGGGGCATTGATTAACCGAATCCCTGTTAAGAATAACACGCAGGGTTTTAATGGCGCTTACAAACGATACTGTATTTGCTAAATGGCAAATGATAGTAAATATAGGTATACATATATATGTATATACAAACTATAAAATACATTTCATTTGAAAAGAAAAGAAACGCAAAAATACTTGGTTTTACTTTGTTTATTTATTAAAATAAAGATTACGGTATAATATTAACCCTGGCAAAAAGTATTCGACCACCCTTTAAAACGCATTAACATTTTTCAAATTGGTCTAATCGACTTGAATGTTTTTTTCCAGTATTATTTTATTAATTATAGTTTATTAATCAAATTTGTTCAAGAGAAAATTCTCGAAGTCGAATATATTTTATTAATCAAATTTGTCCAAGAGAAAATTCTCGAAGTCGAATATATTTGGCTTCGGAATTTGGCTCTAAAACCGAGGACGAAGTCAACAAACAACGTACAGCCTGTCCAAGATCTAGGAAAATCGCGAATTGGTATTAGAGACGCGATGGAAAATTTGAAAATTAGCTGGCCGGTGCAATCGTTACCGTACGTTGCACGAACTGTGCACCCGAGCTCGGTGCATTCAGCTAACAACCCTTAAACCCGTCTTCCCAGGATTCCAGTTTTCAAGGCCGCTTGATTCCCGGGCCCGAAACCACGTCCAGGAGCGTAACGATTCTCTTTTTCTCTTCAGATGAGCGAGTCCGTGAAAGTGGCTGTGAGATGTCGGCCAATGAACGCGCGGGAACTGCAACAGGGATGCAGGGTACGTCCGAAAGAGAGAGAACGCGAGAGAGGGGAGGGAGAGAGAGAAAGAGAGACAGGGAGGGTGGAAGCGAGAGAGAGAGAGAGAGAGTGGAAGAAAGAGAGAGAGCGAGAGAAAGAGTGGACGAGAGAGAGAGAGAGAGAGAGAGAGAGAGAGTGGAAGCGAGAGAGAGTGGAAGAAAGAGAGAGAGAGAGAGAGAGAGAGAGAGTGGAAGAAAGAAAGAAAGTGAAAAAGAGAGAGCGAGAGGAAGAGTGGAAGAGAGAGAGAATGGAAGAGAGAAAGAGAGGGAGAGGGAAGAAAAAGAGTGGAAGAGAGAGAGAGAGAGAGAGAGAGAGAGCGAAAGAGAGAGAGTGGAAGAGAGAGAGAGAGAGCGAAAGAGAGAGAGTGGAAGAGAAAGAGAGAGAGAGAGAGAGGGAGAGGAAAGAGAGAATGACGAGGAGTGCATCCGAGATTCGTGCACTCGATTCCTTAGTACCACGCTCGCACCTCGGCCGGCCAAGTGCACCAAATACCTGCATGCACTTTCGCTTCTTCCTCGTTTCGCTTATCTCCGCCTAAGTACACGGAAAACTGGTCATCGTCATATCGAGCGCGTTGTAGCCTAGCGACCGTATCAAAACACATCGGACAAACAGCGCGCACACATCGCGGTTGCAGTTTTCACGGGACACGGTTTCCTGATGGCGCCATTTCCTCCTTGCTAACGGTATCGATCAGAGTCCTGGACCGGGCTTCGAGATAGTTTGGGAAGATGACTTTTATAGTTGTTGGCAATCGTTGACTACAGGGTGTCCCATCATTATGTTAACACCCGGAAAGAGGTGATTCCTGAGGTCATTCGAAGCAACTTTTTCCTTAACGAAAATTCAATCCGCCGCTTCGTTTACGAGTTATTAACGAAAAACACTGACCAATGAGAGATCGCGTACGGCTGACGCCCCGCCGTCACGACTACTGCTGCTGCGTCAGACGGCCAGCGCGACGCGACACTGGCCGCAAGGGCGGAGCGCTGGCCGCGCTAGCCCTCCGATTGGTCAGTGTTTTTCGTTAATAACTCTTAAACGAAGCCGCGGATTGCATTTTCGCTAAGGAAAAAGTTGCTTCAAATGATCTCAGGAATCACCCCTTTCCGCGTGTTAACATAATTATGACTAAGTATAACAATTATACAACATACATATGTTAACATATTTTATATACAAAATAATTAAGTATTTTATGTATAAGAACGAGTTGTGCGAGGCACAAATGATCGTATCTCTTCTTTCCAAATTGTCCACTTTTGTGTGCGAGCTGTGTCAGTCAATTAGGGAGAATTTACCGTAACTCTTTGGGTTAAAAACAGAGTTAGGCTTGACCACCGACGGCCTCGTTCCATACTTCGATGCATCGGCACGCTTTTATCGGACGTCCATCAACGTTTCCCCTGCTATCATGGAGCAGGCCGACGTTGGATTTACCATTTCATAATATATTCAATGAGCTACAAGTTGGCACGCTAGCAGGCAAATCGGTGATTCCGTGCATCGATATCGGCATCGAACCGTTCAACAGTCAAACAGATTTTACGAGATTGTCGACGTCGGTGGCATTTTCCTCTTATTCAATGATTTACCGATCTCATGATCACACATTTTCCCGGTCAGCTATAGAACTATCGAGCAGTAACAATGATTATAGTTGGTATTAGCTTTTAGAAATAAATAGACTGCGTTTATCGAGCTATTGCAGTAATTGTCCATAAGATCATCGTTGCAATCTCAACAATTGTGCAAGCACAATCTTAAGAGTTAGCTAAGAATTACCGACCAAGGATCGCGAGAATCATGTCTAATTAAGAATTCTCTAATTAAGGAACTATCAAAATCACATTTCTAATTGAGCATTCTTAGCACAGGATGATAATCATTTTTAATTAAGAATTCTTAACCAACGTTCGCGAAAGTCAATTCTTAGTATAAAAAAAACTCTTTAGAAAGGAACATAAAAATTGTCAACTAAGGATCATGAAAATTATTTATTGCTAAAAATTCCCAACTGGAGAACAGGAAAGTTGCTTCTAGCTAAGAATTGTTAACTAAGAGTCATGGAAATCATTTATAATTGGGAATTTCTACCTAAAGGTTATATTTAAATTATTTTTAACTAAGAGAGTCACGAAATCACGAAATTACGAGAATAACTAAGAAATCGCGAAAGTCATCTATTATTAAGAATTCCCAACCAAGGATCATGAAAATCATTTCTAACTGAGAATTCCTAAATAAGGAACATTAAAATCATTCCCATCAGAGAGTTTCTAATTATAATATAATAATTATATATATATATATATATTTTTGTTTGCAAGAGCTGAAGAAAAATTAGGGAGAATTTACTGTATTTTGCAATACTCAATTTATTCTTTACCTGTTCAATTCAGAAGTTTTCTCAATCAAATTTTACGACTTTTTCATTCTTCGTTCAAAACTGCTTTGATAATATTCTCATTTTTTTAATTCACAGAATTTACTGTAGTTGTAAATCATAATCTCACCGATGAGAATCACTGCCGGGAAGCATGGGCATTAGGTTCAATTGGTCCACAGTATGGCAAAGTTGAAGCGGCAGCAATTATTGGCACTATCCATCCACGTGCTTGCGCATGGATGGAACGGAATATATGCCAAATCGATAAGAGCAGTTCGTTTCACCTTTGCTACCTGTGTGCATGACGACGGCTATTTCGCTCTCTCTCCCGTGTGCGCTTATAAATATTCAGTCACACGGCTAACTAGATAATCTATCGGACGAATGGTGTTCAAATTATTTCATCGCTTCTGGATATAGCATATTCACTTTACTTCTTGAATATATCCCGTGCAAATTGATGCAAACTAATCTATCTTGGGCCGAGAGCAAAAAATTAAATAAATTTAAATTTTGACAGCATAAACATTTAGGAGTTATAAACGATTTAATAACATATTTAGATATTAATTGAAATCAACATTTGACTTCGAACGTTCAATCAAAGCTTAAGAAAAAAGAATTGCGCCAGAATTTTTAGTGTGAGTAGAGATAATTGTGTGAGTAGAGCAATTTCTCCCGGAAATGCCAAATCTCGGGTTGCTGCGAATTTCCCTGTGCTAGTTCTACGCCTATGTAATTTATCGCTACGCCGATGCTAAGGGTCGCCGGAGTCGGTCAAGCGTGTGATGCCGCACGCGACGCGAATTCTCGGAAGAGAATAAAAAATGGTTTGTTTGGGTCTGAGTCAGGTGTGGAAAAACCGCGGAGCAACAAGATACGTGGTAGAATTGCCTTCGAATCGCGTCAAGTGCCCCCTGAATTGCCTTCGAATCGCTTCACGTGGCCCCCGAATTTCCTTCGAATCGTGGCAAGTGGTATCCGAATTGCCTTTGAATCGCGTCACGTGGCCCCCGAATTTCCTTCGAATCGTGGTAAGTGGTCTCCGAATTGCCTTCGAATCGTGGCAAGTGGTCTCCGAATTGCCTTTGAATCGTGGCAAGTGCCCCCCCCCCCCCGAATTGCCTTCGAGTCGTGGTAAGTGGTCTCCGAATTGCCTTCGAATCGCGTCAAGTGCCCCCTGAATTGTCTTCGAATCGCATCACGTGGCCCCCGAATTTCCTTCGAATCGTGGCAAGTGGTCTCCGAATTGCCTTCGAATCGTGGCAAGTGCCCCCTCGAATTGCCTTCGAATCGTAGTAAGTGGTCTCCGAATTGCCTTCGAATCGTGTCAAGTGACCCCCGAATTGCCTTCGAATCGCATCACGTGGCCCCCGAATTTCCTTCGAATCGCGTCACGTGGCCCCCGAATTTCCTTCGAATCGCGTCACGTGGCCCCCGAAATGCCTTCGAATCGTGACAATAAATTAGAAATAACAAATTTAATTAATCGTTTCTATCTCTAATCTTGTAGACATTTTTTTCAACGTATTTTTAATGTACACCGGCCGCTGCCATTTTTCGATTTCCGAACAATTTTGAGAAAAATTACTGTAACACGACGGAAGGTTAAGTCTCGTCTATCTTCGATTCGCAAAGGCGAATCAAAATCGATTCGGAATTCCTGTTGAACCGCGACAACAGCCGAGCGAATCAATTTCTGCGCAGGAGAAAAAACTGTGCGACTGTGTTTCCGGTGAGTTTAGCATTTCCGCGAAACCGAATCGATAACGAGCACGACCAGCTATCGGCGAGCCGACGGTGTCGCGGCTAATAATGAGTAATAGACACGTTCGGCTAATGCGCCCGATATTGCGGCAATCTTGGACAAGCCAAGCTCAACGCGAACAGTTATGCGAGCACGGTAAGAATTAACAGCAGAGCCGGATGGACGTAGTTTTAATGGGCGAGCGAATTGTTTTGCAGCGTCGCGCATCGGCATGATTTATTCGCCGCTGTTATTGAACATGTGCCCATCGGTCGCATGCGTCAGGACATAAAACCGGCAAATAAAAACGGAAAATAAATGTCCAGACGTGTCCAGGGACGCGGAACGTTTTCGAGATTAGATTGTAGATTGGCGGCCCGTGTTTTCAGTGCGAGACCGTTCCCAGAAAATATACGGTGGACCGTTAAATCGCTTTATTGCGATTTAATGCTGTCATAGTAAATCAATACTGAATTAGCGTTGACGCGTTCATTGTGATCGATATTAATAGCGAAATGAGAGTCGAGGGAGGATCGTTGAATAATTGACAAAAACAAACAATTGCAATTTACAATGTTGCAGTTTGTAGCAACATAGGTGCTGCGACTTGTAAAACTTTGATCGACAACTTCGTAGAACGAATGAACGGTGTCCCACATTCCCAGGAGCTAGTTTGTCGTAATTTATTCTAACAATGAGCTAGCAATTTCAATTTGTTCTAACTGTATATTTTATATAGCTATATTTTTTTATATGCTTCTATATATTCTTATATACTTATATTTTTGTACGTGCTTTTATATATATTCTTATATACTCTTTTTTATATACTTTTTATACTTTTGAGATATAATTTAACCTTGATATTTTTTTCCTCTTCGTTTCGACTCGGCGTTAATTGTGCCACTTTAATTATGCCACATAATAATACAAGTATGTTCCATTAGCTTGCTGTTATCCTGATTGCGTTGGAGCGAAATTAATCAATGCAGCAAATGGCTAATACAGTTAAGACTTTCCCAATCGTGTTTCACGTCCTCCACTTAATTGCGCTTTGTTGAAGCGACCTTCTTCGCTTTTACTGCTTGCTTTGCAATACACCGTGCAGTCCTGTCGAACTTTCGAATTCTAATCGGTACAGTATGCGAACGAATGAAGACTGGATTCAACGTGTATTAGGGTAAGTGCAGGTGCATTACTGGGGTTTCTAAATGAAGGCGAACTTTGACAGAGAAAATAAGACATTTTACACCAATAAATTGACAACTTGAGCTACGTCTATTATTCTTTAACTTGAACATCTACTTTTCTCAAAATATTGGATCTCTGAAAGCACAAATTTCGTTAAATAGCGTAACGTTAAGAAAAATATCTAATTAGAAAAGATCTAATAGAAAAAGGAAATCTATTGGCGTAGAAGGTTCAATCTCAAAGTTTGAGATTCAAAAGTTCGCCTGTCAAAGAGAAACCGCAGTACAGTAATGTCTCCCTTACCGACGCTCAGATTGTTCCCAAAAATGGACAACTTGGGAAGAGGAGATACGATTATCCGAGCCTAGCGGCTCGTTTTTATAATCGTGGACAATTTATAACTATAAAAACAAGCCTCAAGACTCGAATAATCGTATCTCCTCTTCCCAAATTGTCCATTTTCCCGGGCCAAATCTCTGTCCAAATCTGGGCGTCGATTAGAGAGACATTACAGTAATACCTGCTCTCACCTTACCCGTTCGCCACAGTACCCTACGCGTGCATTCACTGTCCAGATCGCTGTACTCGACCCGCTAACCTACCATCCAGCCCAAAAAACCGCACTCTAACTTACGGTTCCCCGAATGTCCTTAGAACGTGATAACGACCGACGCGGTGACGAAATGCTGCACCTTGGAGGCCGCCGGAAGCGGCAAGGTGTACCAGTTCGACGCGGCGTTCGGCCCGGAGGCCACCACCGAGTCCGTATACGAGAACGTGGGCTCGGTGATAGTGGAGGCCCTGCTCGACGGTTACAATGGCACGGTGTTCGCCTACGGGCAAACCGGCTGCGGGAAATCGCACACGATGCGTGGCTTCATCGAGCGCGCGCTGGACCACATCTTCGAGGCTACGTCGACGGCCAGCTCGGACATGAGGTACCTGGCTCTGCTTAGCTACCTGGAGATCTACAACGAAAAGTTACGGGATTTGTTGCAAGATGGGAACAGCGATCTGCTGATGCTGAAGGAAGACCCGAGCCGCGGGACTTACGTGGCCGGCGGGCTGAGAGAGGTCACGGTCAAGGACGCGGTGGAATGCGCCCGGTTGGTGGAGCAGGGCGACAAGAGACGGGCCCTGGCGGCCACCAAGATGAACGCCGCTAGCTCGAGGAGCCACGCGGTCCTGACGCTGTCCTTGGAGACGTTGGCCATCAACGATGGCAGCCAGACGGAGAACACGGTGAAAAGAGGCAGGCTTCACCTGGTGGATTTAGCGGGGTCTGAGAGGCAGGCCAGGACCGGGGCCAGCGGAGACAGGCTGAAGGAGGCAGCCAGCATCAATCTCAGCTTGTCCGCGCTGGGGAACGTCATCAGCGCGCTTGCTGCTGGACACGGGCGTCACGTGCCCTACAGGTAGCTCGAAGGTCGCCTGAAAGTCCTTAACCTTTTAGGTACGGCTGAATGAGGCTATTTCTCTGGACGGCAGAGTCTGATGTGTACTGTACAGAGTCTGATACTGTATATACAGGGTGTCCCAAAAATGTCTCGCAATCCGAAAGTGGCGGGTTCCTCGGGCCATTCGAAGCAACTTTTTCCTTTACAAAAATGTTCTCCGAGGCACCGTTAACGAGTTATCAACGAAAAACAGTGACCAATGAGAGGCGAGCTCGGCTGGCGCGAGGCGATCGAGCCAATGAGCGGAACTGGGCTTCGCGCGCTGGTCGGCCGGGCCGCCTCGCGTCAGCCGTACTCGATTCTTATTGGTCACTGTTTTTCGTTGATAACTCGTTAACGGCGCCTCGGAGAACATTTTTGTAAAGGAAGAAGTTGCTTCGAATGATCCGAGGAACCCGCC